TCACTCGCCCTCCGGCACGTCGGCGGGGTGGCCTGGGGTGGCCGGGAGCAAGTGGCCGCCCGGCTCCTGAGTGGCGGTGTCTGGGTGGGTGCGAGGGGAAGGGCCGTTGAGAACATTCCCTCTTCTCACGCGGGCCGGTTCAAGCAGCACGTGGGCAGCAGCCCGCGTGGGCAGCTCCCTGGAAGGTGTGCACGCTGCCACCCAGCGTCGGCGCAAACTCACTTGGTGCATTTGTCAGGGGGCAGGGCAGCCTCTGCTGGAGCTCTGACCCATCCAATCTGTCCATTCTAAGGTTCACGCTGGGTATTTTGTTCGTGGAACTTCCTGCCCGTCAGGCCTCCCCTTGGCTCTCCCCAGCTCTGGCCTTGGTCTCCTAACTGGACCGTTTGCCTTTCCCCAGTCCTGCCCACTGCAGACAGGGCCAGGGCCACAGGCAAGTCCAAGGCCTGCCACTCAGTGAAAAGGATGAGGCAGGAAGGGATGGAAGGGAGTGGCCCTGAGGCCAGTGTCACTGTGGGGAAGGCCCAGCCACCAGAGCCAACCGAGAATGTTCTGGAGGAGGGGCAGCTTGTGCCCGGGCTGGGGGTGGGACATGGTATTGCTGTGGAAGATGAGGATAGGTTCTTTGCCTCTCCTCCTCATCCCCACAAGGGCAGAGTGCCTGCACCCTCTGGGCCTGTCCCCACGTCACACAGGGCCTCCTACTCCCAGCTGTTCTTCCTTCTTGGGAAGACATGTGTGAAGTAGCTCCCTTGTTTTCCTGGAGCAGATCCTTCAGTAGCTTTCTGAGAAAGGATGTCAGGGAGGTAAGAGGAACCCTTGTGTTTGAACCCTCCCATGTTGATACTTGGGCTCGGTTCAGGATTCTGGGTGAGACGCCATCCTCCTCCGGGATGTTCGCAGCACTCTGCTTTCTCCCAGCCGTCAGGGTGGCTCTGGAGAGGTCACTGTATGGCCTGTTTTCTCCCGGGGAGCTCCGGTGTGGTCTTCCTTCATTCATCGTGCTGCAGGGGGCTTTCATGCTGTAAACACGCGTCCTCCCGTTCTAGATATTTCTTATTTCTCCTTCTCTGTGTCCTCCACCCTCCTCTGGAGCTGGACGTGGGCCTCTGGACTCCAGGCTCCAGCTCTCTCGTCTCCTTTCCCGGTTTTTATCTGAGCCCCTTTGTGCAACTTGGACGAAGCCGCCTCAGTTTTATCTTCCCATCCTTCAACTGGACATTCTGTTTCTTTAATCAAAATTTTCATTTCTAAGTCCACTTTCATTTCCTTGGGTGGATTCCTGTGGCATCTCCCGCTTCCAGGCTCTGGTCGCGGCTCTTTGGCCCACAGAGCCCGCCGATGACGAGCCGTGGTGTAGGCATTGGTGGTGGGCGTGGACGTCGTCAGACTGCGCTACGCGGACTTCAGTGCGCTGCGTTAGGAACAAAGATGTCGCTCCTTCCCTGTGCTCTTCCCTCTCACCGACATGCCCTTGCGGCCGCATGCCTCCTGGATGTCTGCAGCGGAGGACGGGTCGCGCACTGCCCGGCGTCTGGCGCCCGTGTGGGTGGGTCCTCGCCTGGCTGCCCAGAAAAGTGACTTCTGTTGGGGACCCGAGCAGGCATTCGGTGTTGCCGTTGGGCCCTTGCAAACCAAACTCGGCTCCAAGGTGATACTTGGCGGGGGGGTGGGGGAGGTAATGAAACTGGCCAGTGGGGCTCGAATCTGCAGCCAGCAGGTGCCCTGGGCTGTGAGCTCACTCACGCATTCCAGAAACCCACAGTTGAGTGGGAGCGCGGAGTGGAGAGGCCTGCAGATCAGTCACAGGGAGGGAACGTCTTCTCGGGTAAACTGGGGAGACTGTGTCGTGGGGTTTACATACCTCATCTCCAGAACAGACGTATTTGGAAGTGTTCTGAATGGCATTGACAGGCAGCCTTGTAGACGGGCCGTGCTCTGTGCGTCCAGATGTGGCCTGGACAGAAAGGTGGAGGGGGCGTGAGATGGGAGAGGCTGCAAGGGAGGTGAACCGCAGCTGTGCACGCTGGTTTAATCCAAGAGAGAGAGACGTTTCACGTGGGCAAATGATGTGCTCTGATTTACATCGAAAACCTTACTCTGGCCACTGCCTCTCTTTAGTAAATGTACTTAACATAGGGAGGTATCTGTTTGGAATTATATCTGACTGCTGGTAATAAAAACCTGAAAAACAGTAGTTTAAGGAGATTACTGGCTTATGTAGCAGGTCTAGGGGCAGGCAGAAGAAAGCAGGTGTCAGGTCTCCAGTATGTTGGGAGGGCCCCCAGTGGATTTCCGCTTGGCTGTTTGTAGAATGAGACCCTTGTTTTCATGTTCACAAGGTGGCGCCCAGAGCTCCAGCCATCAAATATGAGTTCCAGCCACCAGAGGAAAGACTGAAGGCAAAACTGCAAACACTAGCTGAGTCAGCCTTAAGAGCCTTCCTGGAACTCCCACCTAATAACTCCTGTTGGCAGTTCTCTGGCTGGAGCCGCCACCCAGAAGCTGGGGGCTACAGTTAGCTGGCTGCACCGCCATCCTGGGTAAAACCGAGATGCTGTTAGTAAGAGTGGAGGAACGTGGGTGCCGGGACAGGAAGTGGGTAATCTCTGCCACAGGCGGCGAGAACGGAAGCAGGGTGAGGGGTGGGCAGCTGTGGAGGGGTCAGGATGGGGGTGGGCGTTGTGCAGCCTGGAGCAGGGGTGGAGATGGCCCCGGGGGGGGGCGGGGGCACCCGGCACCCCTGAGCTGTCAGCATCGCCCGCGCACACAGCCCGTCCCCGGGGCCTCGGTGTCCTGCAGCTGCGGAGGATTTCTGCAGGAGTGCTTAGTGCTCGCTGGGCGCCGTGGGGCTGCTTCACCAGGGGGCACACGGGGACCCGGCGCAGTTGGAGCCCTCCCCTGGCTGGGCTCCCGGAGCCACCTCGTGCCCCATTCCCGCGCTGTGGGCGGGAGAGCAGGGTCTCCTGCACGGCCCCACGCGGGGAGCCCTCCCGAGAGCCGACTGCCTGGAGAGTGAGCACTCGGTGAGCTCACTCCGTCCGTCCCTCCGTCCCTCCCGGTCTCGCTTCCCGGTGCATCTGCTTCTGCATTTAGCGTCCAGTCCTGCCCCCGCTGCGGTGCCGAGTGTCTGGGCTGGCCGTCCCCGTGGGTCCCCAGCACAGTACTTGGCTTGCAGACCGGGGCCGGTTCTGTAAATAGTCGTGTTGGCGCCCAGCTGTGCTCGTCCCTTCACGCATTTCTGGGGCTGCTTTGCGCCCCCCGGTGGACTTGAGTACCTGGGACAGAGACCGCACAACTCAAACCTGAAAAGAATGCCCATCTGATGGCCGTTCGTGGAGCAAGGTGCTGGCCCCGGGCAGGTGACCAGTCCCCGGAGAGAGGCACTCCCCGGCTTCACGGCCACAGAGTGGCGTTGGGATGAGGACAGACGCCGGGTGAACAGACCTGGCCGGCACACCTTCGGCAGGGAGGGGAAGGGCAGAGTGGTGCCCCAACAAGAAAGGGGGGTGAGGAGCTGAGGCCTGGCCGTGCCCACATCTCAGCCCTCCCCCGGGCCCCCCCCCCCCCCGCCGAGTCCTTTCTTTACCAAGTGGAGTGGGGCAGATGTGGTGCCCTGGGCACGGACGTAACAGACAAAGGTACGACGAGGAAGACCCCGTTAAGTCCACAGTGATGCGGAGGGCAAGCCATGCCACGTCCTGGGCTTTAGGGCCAGACAGGGATTCCAGGGGCATGAGAGGTGACCTCCTGGGCAGGATGAGGAGGCAGCCCAGGAGGGCTTCCTGGAGGTAGTGGCTTGGCTAGGTGAACAGAAAGTCAAAACTTCCCCTCAAACCCTCTTGGGAGGTTTGGTTTGGGCTGAGGTGCCAGGAAGCAGCAGGGGCTGGTGTATGGTCGGTTGTGGGGGCCTGCGGAGGCTGAGCAGGAGGGAACTCTTGGGGGGGTATGGAGCTGGCTGCCCCTTGGACGTCCCTGAGGGGTGGTGGGGGTGGGGGGAAGGCTCCAGAGAGGGGCCCAGGGGCCTGTTGGCCTGAGAGACTTGCAGGTGGGTTGACTTGATGGGATGGAAGGAAGAGAAGGTGGTGAGCAGGGTCCGCTCTGAGGGCGGGAGGCAGGCTGCTCCACCATTTTGCAGAAGAGGAAACCTGGTGGGGGGGCGGGCAGTGGATCTCATGTGGGGCCTCCCTGGGGGCAGCATGTCTGGGAAGGATGAGGGTCCTACCTCTGCTCCCACAGCTGTTTGGTTACAGCCCCATCCTGAGAAGCCAGAAGAAATTCATGTCACAGTCCCACTGGGTCCTGGCGGGGCCCTGCCTCAGCGGTCTGCAGCGAGGCTGTCCTGTCCCCCACTGCAGGGCACCCTGTGGATGGCGTGTGGGGCAGAGTGTAGGGGCTGGGAGACCCGCAGACCCCCAGCCCACACCCTCTGTCCTTCCAACGAGCTGCTCCCCAGGGACCCCGAGAGCCCCTGATGGCGCTTTCTGTGGCCCAGCGACTTTTCGGGTGCAGCTGGGGGCGCAGGGCGTTGGGGGTGGCCCTGTCTGCGGCAGGAGGTCAGCCGTCCTGCACGGCAAGGTCGTGTGAGTGTGTGTGCACGTGCGTGCTCCCACACGTGCGGTGTGAGCGTGCACACATGCACACGGCTCAGCCTGCACGTGGTGCTCTTGGTCTTTCGCCCCGGCTGACCTCCCTGACAAGCATTACGGGAGCTGGGAAGCCAGGGTCTGCGGGGGATCCGGGTCCCTGGTTTGCACCTTTGCAAAGGTCCACTGCGGGCCACGAGTGTCCGGCAAGGGGGCAGGTGGGCGGTTGTCCCAGGCTGGGGTCCCACGTCTGCCCTGGAACTCCGCTCTTAGTGACTGGGTCGCAGTGTCAGCATGGGGCTGCGCCCCCACCAGCCCCCGCCCCTGCGCAGACAGAGCCCGGGGCACAGCGCGGAATAGAAAGCGGGTGTTACTACATGCATCCTGACCTGTAACCTTTGTTCTCACTTCCAGAATTTCTTTGCGAAGCCAGAAGGAAGCACACAGTTTAAGAACCCGGTGGCCTTCCACGTTGGCGGTGACCTCGCCCGGCGCCTGGGAAATGCGGGTCCTCGGGGTTCGCACCGCCCACCAGCTCCGGGCTGTGCCGCCGGTCACAGCCCCCAGGCTCTGAGCAGCGTCCGCCGGGACACCCACCGCGGCCCCCAGGCCGAGCGTTTGCTGCCCGAGCCCCCTGTGTGGCGCCCACGCGTGAGGATGCGCGCCCCTGTCGGGGGGCTGCTTGCTGCCCTCGCCATGCTGTTTGGGATGGCGGTGGCGTTTGCACCCAAACCCAGGATCACCTGGGAGCACAGAGGTATGGGGCAGCCTTGCTGTCGCGGTCGACGCATGGGCTCCACTGTGTGCGCTGGGTCTGCTCTCCGGCCCCCTGCGGGCGGGCAGGTGCCTGGGTGACACGAACACTTGCCCGGCGTGTTCGGGGGCTGCCAGTTAGGTTTCTAAAGCTGGGGCCCCCGGAGAGCCTGAGGATGTGTGGTGCGCTCCCCGGGCATGAACCTCTCTAAATGCCCTGTTTGAGGACATTTATTTTTTTTTTTAATTTTTTTTTTTT